GTGGGAAGTTGGGAAAATACTGATAAAAGTAAGAGAATATATCAATCTTACTTCACTTTCAATGCTATCTCTCTCTTGTTCAGTTGTGCGGTAGAAATCCACATAATCCTTCTTATGTTTCAACAAGAATTCTTCAAGGACTCCAATGCTATCTACCTGAAAAAAGGATTTCCTCAATAAACATTTCTGTAGTCTGCATTCACAAATCCACACCTAAAAGCAGTACATGCATTGTTTTTAAGCAAATGAGGATCTGTTTTATAATACAACATATAAAACATGTACAATAAGAAAGAGAATAAGCACTTAATCAGAAAACTATACCGTCTTCAGTGCAGCTTTGATGAAAGGTGATCTTTGTCGGGGTTTGCGCATGATAAATGAAGCTAATATAGCTGCTATTCTTGTCTGTACGCAACGACAACTATGTTTGGTTAGAACTTAGAAGATATCAATTTGCTTCCGAAATTCACAAGGAACAAACTGATGTGCAAAAGAAAACCCAATCTAACTTCTGACTTAACTATGGAGGTGAACATTACAAATGCTCTTTTAACAAAATGAAAGTAATGTTACAATAGATTCATAAATTGGCTGCAGTCACTCAATTCGGCTATAATGCCAACACTAAAAGACAGAAGCCAATCGAATACCCAGTTAGCAGTTACCCTGGAACTTCTAAATCCATATATGACTCTTTAATATTCTTGTGAGACATGGATGCACTCTTAACAATTCAAGACATGGCTGCAATGACCAGGATTCACTGCAACGTAAAAACTAGGAAACCCAACAAAAGCACTATGAGCCCCTTTGGTAAGGCTTAAAATGTTGAACTGGCGAAATCTGTTCAAATGGCTTCAGTGGTGCAGAGATGACTGCATTTATTGATTTATCTTAAAAATACATATGTAAATAGATTGAAGGAGGCAAGGAGCTGATATCCAAAAATGAAGCTAAAAGTATAAATTTTAGCCATGTCAGCCACATATAATAACGTGTGCATGACCACTTTCATCTCGTGCATCAAGAATAGTTAGTGTTTGTGAAAAAAATGGTCCACAAAGCTGATGGACGAAAATAAAACTACCGAACACTCTCGAAGTCTATACTAGAGTGGGAGAGAAAGCAACACAAGCTGAAACTAAAATGTGAGCACGGTAGGAACTTGAACACCCTCTTTGGGTTTGAAAGCCTTAGAAAATTGAGAGCAAGGATAAGGCCGTACAAAAAATGAGCATATCTAAAGTAGAATCTGCAGCATCAGGCCATATTAAGGAGATAATAAAACTGGCAATGTGCTAATTAAGTCAAAGTACCTCATCATACCCCAGAGACACGGCAGATCGGTGGACAGCATCTTTGAAATCCTCAGTTCTATCTCTAATGGTCACCATCCCTTCACTGAAAAAAGAACACATTCTTTCAATCGCCATATTATAAAGAAAACATACTAAACCTACTCCATACGCAATAACATTGAAAGCATAAAAGGATTATTCTTGCAAAAGACCCACCAAATTAACTGCCAGCACCACCACTCAGAAAGCCTAAATTAATCAACGGAGAGGCGAGTGAAGCGTCCTGCAGAGGTCCGTCGTTCGCCGTGCGCGGCAGAGATCAGATGCTCAGATAAGTGATGGCCAGTGTTCGCGATTCACTTCTCATAATCGTCACTCCACGTGTCCGCCTGTGGGTTGCGGTGGCTGGCAACCTCTGGTTCTAGCGTTTTTTTGTTTGTTTTGCGAGGTTCAGTTTCGTTCAATCGGGGGAGAACGACGGATTTTAGGAGTCCACGGTGCGAGAATTCGTGGCAGGTGGGTCAGACCTAAAATGTAATTGCAATTAAGTTAATCACGAACATTAGATATAGGTAATGTACTATGTTATGCCAATATGTAAGGTAATCATCATAATCATTACAAATTATGGAACATTTCCTTGTAGACAACATTCATCGTCTCAACCTTTGGGCAACCTTCTTCATTTAGGATCAAGATTTTCAAACCAGCGCGATTGGTTACTCTTGAAACAGCTACATATAATCCTTCGAAATCTAAACGGCAACCTAGCATCAGATTGCGTCAAAGATAGACGCGGTATTAAAATTTTTTGTCCTGCGCTGGTACCATTGAAAACCCTACCCTCCAAGATATGATCACACATCTTAGTTATGATGAGTCTTGTCCTGTAACACAAACCCAATGAGAGATCTATATTACGCAGCAACATGACAGGAGTCCCGATCTTCAAAGTTAAGTTGTGATTTGGCACTCCGGATAGTTTAATACTATTCAAGTATTCTGGAGTGTGTAACTCTGCTATTAGATCATGAGTTGAATCAGATTTGCAAACGTTGTCTGAACTAAGGTATGTTCGCGTCTCTTCCTTGGAATTTAAACTTATCATGTAGTCATTGACCAAATCAACCACCTCAAGGGTCGGAGCAAGGATAGCTCTATCTCTGAGGTAATTCAAATCAGTACTTGATTTTAAATAATCGAGATAAATGATCTCGACTATCTTAGCAATGGGATCTCCAGAGTACTTGATAAGAATGTCATTAGGAATTTTAATAGAGCAATGACCATCATTTGAGTCACCAACAATACCATCACCTATGCTTGCAATTCAATCAGCAAAAAGTCTCAAGTCATAAGATTCCGCAGGGTTATGGACATTTTGCAGCCTCATGTTCTTAGTTAACCTAAGAACGGTGCACTCCCCCCACAAATAAGATGAATTAATTGTAGCATTAACAACTTCTTGCCTGGTTCCTTGAGGGATTACAGTTAGCACCTGACGAAATCCCCCCCCCCCACCACAATTGTTTTCCCACCAAATGGTAAATTTAAACTATTTGGGTTGGTGAATCTAAGAATGTCACGCATACTTCTATCCAATGCCTCAAAGCAGTATTTGTGCAGCATAGGAGCTTCATCCCAAATTATCAACTTACACTTGGTGATCAGCAGGGTGAGCGGGCTACCTTGCTTTATATTGCAAGTTGAATCTTCATTCAAACTTATTGGAATTGCAAAACGCGAATGGGCAGTCCTGCCACCGGGTAGCAGCAAGGAAGCAATGCCACATTTAATACTATGTCCCCTTTGGATCTCAATGCAGCTGATAGCGTCTTCCATACAAACGTCTTCTCGATTCCACCATATCCATAAACAAAGTACATCCCTCCAGACTCCGTTTCAACAGAATCCATGATCTTGTCATATACAACCCGTTGTTCATTTGTCAAACCTTGAAACAATCTATCATGTTCTTCGAGCATCGCCTGACGATCATATAAGAGCTCTTCTTGAACTAGTCTATTTGCAGAAAATAAAGTCGAACATGACTTTGGATATGGCATCAGAGGATAATCCCGCAAACTTTTCCCACGCCTTTGCAACAACATTCTACCTCTGTTAATGCTGCCATTTGCAATTGCTCATTGTCCATTACAAACCCTGCATTCCATGGAACGTCATATGACAAACCAGCCAGATTAATGCACAACAGATAAACTGCGCAATACAATGAAATTGATGTGGTAATAAGTAAAGTAAAAAAGGAGCTTGACACATACCCAGATGTTGATACATCTTACGCAGTTTGTATTGAATATCTTCTGCCATGTATATCCAACATTTCTCCCAAACATATTCGGGTCGACCCATGGATTCAGACCACAACAATACCACAAAGAGTATCCTTAAGGCATACGCCGTCGCGAAATCACTTGCCTCGGTTAAACCATCAATAAATTCCTTATCATCGTCTAGAAGCCCCAAAGCATAGCAAGCTTCTCGATACGTATTATACAACACACCACTTATGGTCCTCAAATCCTCATAACACGTAACTCCCCGAATATAGTTTAATAAACATCTCATATAATATGACTCCCCACATCCCGGTGGAACATAGTATATTCGGCCAATGGAAAACGCTTTCTTTCTTGGCATCCATTCCCTTGATTCACTCTTCCAAACAAATTTCTGGGGGAATTCGGCATATGTTATCTGTCGTGCGATTTCGTACTTTTTGTTAGCCTCCATCCAACCCAAAAACATGTTATCCTTAACACTCCTCCCCTTAATAACAGAATCAAGAGGGTCATTGTCTGAGAAGATCACTGTTTGTTCTCCTTTCATGTGAAAGCTTAGACGCTCAACGGGTAGATTTTTATATTGAATCTCAAATCCAAGAATACGCCATGCAGCCTCACATGGAGATATATATCGGCAATCATAATACATTTTGATTTCATCCACGGGTTGACTCTGTTCATTTGCAGCTGCGTTGTTAAAAAAAAAACTGCAGTCACGCGATCACGCCCTTTATTGATGTACTTAAATAAGTACTTAATAAGAACTTAATTAAGATGAGGATGGAATGATGCAGGATGGAGCTCGAACATACAGTGCGACAAGGAAATTGGGCAGCCCACTTTCTCGCTGCAGATCATATGGGCTAGCAAATTAAGAAGTTTTCTGATCTGAAGTTGTTGCCCATTAGAGCTACACGGGCTTATTATATGGATTTGTCCGGCATTCCTTCGATCAGATTCTAATTTCTTTGCTTCGTGCTTGTTTGACAGGTTGTAAATTGGGCCAGGTCTAGCCCCCCCCCCAATTTGTTGTTCTCTTATATCTGTTTTTCTTTTCTTTTGAGAGGTTTTGGTTTGGTCCCCCTCTCAAATGTATTCCAAATTCTTCATGAATAAAACCCGGTAAATGTCCTCTGGCATTTACCCCACTGATTTTGGTGGTTTGCCTTCCGGGGGTTTAAAAAAAAAGACCGAGATTGGTTGCACCATATTTCATCAACAAAAATCGATTGTGCGGAACAACAAAACGATTGTCAAACGGGACTTTATTCTTCTCAACAGTTCGCCCAGCTTCTCTTCTCCTATAAACCGGATACCCATCCCCATCAACCGTCGTGACATCGCACCAAGCTTTAGGGAAATGTTTGGTACACCTTTTGTCAGCCATACATGGAGCAGTCTTAGCGTATATGCCACACGGACCGTGCATCATAAAATCACGTACTGCGTTGTAATGTTGTGGGTCCTCATCTTTATCAGGAATCTCTGCTGAAATAACTCTATCAATGTCAGACGGTGTTGGCAACTTATCCTCACATGCAAGCCATAGTAGTATGTGTGCATGAGGCAATCCTCGTTTCTGAAACTCAATAGTATAAACCACTGCAAAATGCAATTTAAAAATTACTATGAAAAAATATACAATCACTAAATATGTGCTTATTGAAAGTTTGGAAATTTACCTGCTTTAACACTACCAAATACCTTATTACATCGCAAGTCTTTCATAAGACCATCCAACTTTATCTTAAAAACTCGGCATACAACATCAGGACGATCCTCAGACTTAAGATGTCGAGCACTTAAAAAACGATCAATCTCGGGACATTTAGGGTTGCACGTTAGCGTGATAAACAAATCTGGATACCCCGCCCATCTACAAATTGTCATTGCATCTTGGTAGTTTTGTATCATGAACCTTGCACCACCGGTGAATGTGGGTGGCAACACAATTCTCCTTCCTTGAGTGGTTGGATCATTCTCTCCACGCAAAACAGCATCATTTAAACCTTTATACATTTCACAACGAAGCTGTTTTTGATGCGTTCTAACAAACTTCAATCTTGCAGATTCTATCAAAGTATAACCATCAACAACGAATTGCTAGAAAAGTCTCTTAGCTTTTAAAATTGTTGAATATTTAAATTCCCTCTCTTGCAAGAGATAAGCCAAAAATTGTCGAATGCTCACATTACGCCTACATGATCCAGGGACAACCCTAGAACCTGAAAGCGCAATATCTTCTCGGTAACCATCCTCACCAAATGGAAACAACAAAGGATACTGCAGCCCAAAATATGCTGGATTAAGTTCATTAATATGTTGCAGCTTTCCGCTCTGGGTTTCCACCAAGATATCTCTCTCCCCCATTGACTCATCAAAATCCCCTACAACTAAAGCAGCAACCTCTGAGACAGTTGGGAGGTTATATGTTCTAGCATCACTATTTCGTTTGCCTATCAACCTCAATCTCATGTCAACGCTCTCACCGTGGTGAATCGTTTCCTTAGCCATTCTAAACGATTTCACCAAAACATTGTGATCGTTCAACATGTTTCTCAAGTCCTCAACAATCTCAATATGCAATTGGTTAGCGTTAACATCTCCCCTGCAACAATGAAATAAATCTTCATAGATAATTCCCATCAACAGCATAAAAGAACTGCAATAAGAAATGCAACTATCACACTGAAATTACCTTACAGATTTGATCCGGTTCTGTAGCTCATTCTCAGTATCGTAGATATATAATTGAGCAAATTTCGGAATCGACCCAACAGTGGGAATCAAACTTCCAATAAGGTGATAGTTCTGACCATGAAGTTTAAATATTGGAGGACCCTTGCCTTTATTAATTGACGTCTCAATGCGTCCGCCCATAGATGTGAAAGCGAACATGTTATTGTAAGATTTGATATTTTCTATAAAATGTTTGTTTCTTGCATCTCTTCCATCTATCAACCTCTGCAGTAACAACGGTGGTTCTTTGTAGACTGGAAGCTTCACTTTGCCTTGAGAGCAACAGAGAGAATACTTTGGATTTGCCTTAGTAGAACTGGATTCATTCATCTCTTCATACCAAAATAGTGCTTCGCAGGATGGGCACACACAATTTGGATCACCGATATCCCATAACTATGAAATACAATTACCAACAACCACATATATCAGACCAACCCATTAAAATATGTATCAAATATTTGGTACATATAACTTAGTAATACATTAAAATCATATTGTTGTTGAACAATAAGAAAAACTTTAATTTTATAGAAAATCAACCATTTGACAATTTAGCACCAATGCTCTTTAGATCTTCATAATCCACATATGTATCGTCTACATCAATATCATCAATATCAACATCTTTCGTGAAATAACTGCATGAATCCTGAGCAGCGTTCTCCATTGTCACGCCCCAGACCGCAATCCAAGCGCGTGTACAACCGCCGTATAATCAAGTGACGTCACCCGCGAGTCAACCTCACTTAATTACACAAGGCGTTCGAGAATATAATCCATCCATACTCAGTAGTAAACATACATAACAACATCACATTTAAACCAATGAATAGCGGAAATATTCAACGGTAAGTCATAAGCCACAACCGGCCAACAACATGGGCATGCAAGCCCCAAAAATAGTTTACAGTAGAACAAATATCCATGAGCATGTGTTCGGTAGTTTGAAAGAAAATAAGGAAGCACGAACCACGTCTCCCTGAAGTTGATATCACCCGTAAGAAGGTGCAGGTAGCAAGCCCTAGCTTCAACCTGAAAATGGTGGGGGCCCCCGAAGGGGTCAGTACAAGTACCGAGCGAGTAGCAGGCTAAATATAGAATAACTAGCGTTTCAATTATAAGACCCAAACATAGAGTGATACTTATGTAAATAGTCTTTTCCCCCAAGTTATGAAATACTCATTAGTATATATATATATATACTTGGAAAATACCCGATCCGTGGATCACTGTTTTATTTGGGAAAAATAGTAATAGTCAATATTCTTAACTAAAAACCTCAACCCACCCATATACCTATGAGTGTATAGGACTCCTCCTTGTCCCTATTTCAATATCATAATCTATGAGTGTTAAGGACTTTTAGTCCTAGGGTCCTCCACCAATTTATAATCCGAGTGTTAAGGACTTTAAGTCCTAGGGTCCTCCACCAATTTATAATCCGAGTGTTAAGGACTTTAAGTCCTAGGGTCCTCCACCAATTTATAATCTGAGTGTTAAGGACTTTAAGTCCTAGGGTCCTCCACCAAATTTTGAGTGTTAAGTACTTTTAAGTACTAGGGTCCTCCGACAAATTTTGAGTGTTAAGTACTTTTAAGTACTAGGGTCCTCCACCAAATTTTGAGTGTTAAGTACTTGTTGAGTTTAATCCAACACGATATAGTAAATATATGTATGAACACTCAGTTTTTACGTGGAAACCCGAAAGGGAGAAAACCACGGGACTTTTTAGGCTAATGTCCAAGCCCTCTCTTTCTCATTAGGACTCTCCTCACCATTACATAGTACATTTTGAACTCCCATTAATGGAGTTTTGTAAGCTATTCTAGAGGAAGAAGGAAGAAGGAAGGGATAGAAGGAAAAAGGTCCTTTACATGGAGGGAAAACCTCCTATAAATAGGAAAAGGGGTGAGGGAAGTACTCCACCCTAATGGGCCAAACGGGCCGATGTCGGGCCTAATGGCCAAAGTGGGCCAGAATGGGCCGAAATGGACCTAGCTGCTCGGGCTCCGTACTGGATAATGTCTTGGGCTCCTGAACAGTAATAGGCCGGGATAATATATCCCAACAGTACTTTTAAGTACTAGGGTCCTCCACCAAATTTTGAGTGTTAAGTACTTTTAAGTACTAGGGTCCTCCACCAAAATATTTTCCTATGATCAACCTCCTATCAACCTAGATAGAGTCTATATCATACTTAGTTACTCATAACTAATTCAATACATAAAGCTTATGTATCACAATCCATGCAAAGACATGCAATTATATAAATGTATAATTAACTAATATCAACCGATATTAATTAATCCATTATCCATCGGTCAACGTTGTCGTTGACCGCCATTTCAAGTCTTACACTTATCAACTTAATCATCATGTATTTAAGTTAATAATATTCATTGGTGCTTCTTATACATTTCAAACGAATATGTATTTTATATAATTCTTCATATCATATTATATTCCATGCATAAACAATTTATTTCTTTCATACCATCTTAACCCTATTGGCTAATCACATGTTTAAATATCTTTTAAACATCATTATGAACTCATATAACATTTATTTAGGTAATCTCATAATTAACCCAAAAGTTATAAGATATTAAGCCGTCCACTCACCTTGAACTAGCGTTATGAAGTTCTACCCTTCTTGGTTGAACTCCGGTGAAACTCCGGCGACTTTTGGTCAACTCCGGCGACAACTCCGGCGACTTTTCCAACTTTGTGAAATCACTTGAAATACCCTTTACAAGTGCCTAACAAGGTTTTATAATCATAAAACTCATATTAATACAAATAACCTCTAAAAGGTTATTTTCCGGTGAACCGGTAGTTTTGGTCTCTAAGTCCGTTCTTGGACATAGAACCATCTTCCTACCCATAAATCCATACTTATAACATGTGGAACCATACTAAGGGTCCTTCGCATGATATATACCTCATATGGTAGAAGAAAAAAGTAAGGAGAAGTTACAATAAGGTCATTACCTTAATTATTCACCTTTTTCCTAACTTTTTGCTTTCTTAAAACCTCATCCTTGGACCACTAAAGCTTGAGCTCGAATTTGCAGCAATGGAGGTGAGTTTGGAAGCTCTTCTTCTCTCCCTTGGGTGGCCTGGTCGAGATAATGGGGTGAGGGGGTGATAGGATGGCCTTTTTGGCTCATCTCACCAATTATGTGGGGAAAGGGTCCCATCCCACCTCATGGTTGACCTTCCTCCCACCTTCCCTTGTCTTTGCACCCCCAAGGGTCACATTTGAGCTGAATAAAACGTGGGATGGCCCCCACTCATGTGGGAGGTCATCCCTTTGTGTCCCGATGTGTACAATCGGTCCCGAAAGTTGTATTTTTCGGACTGTTTTAAATATATTTTATTTTATCGGGTCAAATAAAATATATTACTCACTCCCAATCATAACACCCCTTTGAAATAATATATATTCCAAAACTTTAATTTGGAAGTCTTCGAAATTCATTTTCGGGCTGTTATCTGATAAATTGTCGGCACCGGTAATTGGTCCTCTTTTGACCAATCGGTCAACTCCGGGCCTTTCCACGACCCAAATGAAATATCAACCGCCATATAAATATTATCTTGACCAAGATGAATAAAATATGTGGTCTCGGGAATGTTGGGTGGTCCCCGCTCCCGATGTGGGTCCCACGTGCAATTTACTATTCACGCGAAAGAAATATAAGAAATTTACAACTTCGTAAATTCATAAATCATTCCATAAGGTTTATTACATCATTTACTTAAAAGTAAATACATTTGGGGACGGTGTTACAAGTTCACCCCCCCCCCCCCTTATTTGGGATTTCGTCCCCGAAATCCATGTGTCTAATCGAAAAGAAATGGGTATTGCTCCCGCATTGAGACCTCGGTCTCCCAAGTTTCTTCTTCGACTCGATCACTCCTCCAAAGAACCTTTACCATAGGAATCTCCTTATTCCTTAGCTTCTTCACTTGTTGACCAACAATCTTCACTGGTTCAACCGCATATTGCAAGTCCTCACGGATCTCTACTGGTGGTTTCTCAAGAATATGAGATGGGTCTCGTATGTACTTCTTGAGCATTGATACATGAAACACGTCATGTATCTTCTCAAGTTCAGGCGTTAACTTGAGACGATAAGCCACGGCCCCAATCCTTTCAAGGATCTCAAACGGACCGATGTATCGGGGGTTAAGCTTTCCCCTCGATACGAATCGGATGATGCCCTTCCAAGGAGAAATTGTTAGGAAGACCTCATCACCGACTTTGAATTCCAACGGTCTCCGCCGTTTATCAGCATAACTCCTCTGTCGGTCCTGAGCAGCCTTCAGTCTCTCCTAAATGATCCTCACTTTAGCCTTGGTGATCTCGACAAGTTCTATTCCTTCGAGTTTGGCCTCGCCAACCTCGTCCCAACACAACGGTGTTCTGCATTTCCTCCCATACAATGCCTCGTATGGAGGCATGCCGATACTTGCTTGATAATTGTTGTTATAAGCAAACTCCACTAGAGCCAAATGTTTGTCCCAACTCCCTTGGAACTCTAGAGCACACGCCCTAAGCATGTCCTCCAAAATCTGTATCACACGCTCGGACTGTCCGTCCGTCTGTGGATGAAAAGCTGTGCTAAACTTCAGTTTAGTTCCCAACGATGCCTGAAACTTTGGCCAAAATCGGGATGTGAATCGTGGATCCCTATCCGAGACAATGGATATTGGGACTCCATGTAATCTCACAATCTCCTCTGTGTAGAGCTTGGCCAATCTTTCAAGAGGATAAGTAATGTTGATAGGCAAAAAGTGTGCACTCTTGGTGAGCCTGTCAACCACTACCCAAACTGCATCATAGTTGTTCACTGTTCGTGGTAGCCCCACCACGAAGTCCATGGTCACGTGCTCCCACTTCCACTCTGGGATGGTGAGTGGCTGCAAAAGCCCTGCCAGGTGCTGATGTTCTGCCTTAACTTGCTGGCAAGTAAGGCACTGACTCACATACTCTGCGATGTCTCTCTTCATACCTGACCACCAGTAACTTTCCTTCAAATCTCGGTACATCTTAGTACCTCCTGGATGCATAGCATAAGCTGAAGAATGAGCCTCCTCAAGTATAGACTTTTCGAGTTCCTCATTCCTTGGTATGCACACACGATCTTTAAACAATAAAAGACCGTCATCACGTACCCGAAAATTCTCAACGGGCCCCTCAAGGATCCGTTCGCGGATCTTCTGACATTCCTCATCTGTCACGCCCCAGACCGCAATCCAAGCGCGTGTACAACCGCCGTATAACTAAGTGACGTCACCCACGAGTCAACCTCACTTAATTACACAAGGCGTTCGAGAAAACAATCCATCCATACTCAGTAGTAAACATACATAACAACATCACATTTAACCAATGAATAGCGGAAATATTCAACGGTAAATCATGGG